AGGCTGTGAAAAACCTCATAATGAACTTTTACATACTCCTGTGGTTCCAACTACTGAAGAGTCGAACAATTCGAAAAAAAATGAATTTAATTGTCATATCTCTACAGATAGGGAAGTTTTGCTAAAAATTTTGCCAGTGGTGATAAATAAAGACAATCATATATTCAAAACATTCGCACTTCTAGACGATGCATCCACTGTAACTTTAATAGATGAAGATTTAGCCAATGAAATGGAACTAAGTGGACCCCAACAATCTTTATGTTTACAGTGGACAAATAATCAAGTGAAAATGCAAAATGATTCTAGAATTGTCACCATGAAAGTCTGCGGTGAAAATAATTCAAATATTAGTCATTATTTACGACATGTCAGAACATTTAAGGGACTCTCATTACCCAAACAAACAGTTAATATTGAGGAAATCCGACAAAAATACCCGTATATTGACTCTAGTATCCCATCGATATTTAAAGCTCAACCAAAGATATTGATTGGTCAAGACAATTGGCCTCTGTTGGTAAGTCAGAAAGTAATAACTGGACCTTGGCATGGACCTGCAGCTAGCAAGACTCCTCTCGGATGGGTAGTCCACGGAAATTTCAGATTGGATCATCCCGCAATATCTGAACATTATGTTTGCTTCATGAACCACAAGGAGAAGGATAACCTCGACATTTTGCATGACTTGGTGAAGGAGCAGTGGAAGATGGAATCTTTTGTTGAGGTGAGAAATCCATTATCAAGAGAAGATATGAAAGCTCAACATATCTTGGATAATACAATGCGCAGAATTGGAGACAGGTTTGAAACCGGGCTATTATGGAAGACCGACAACAACATTCTGCCAGAAAGCAAGAAAAATGCATTGAGACGACTTTACTGTACCGAGAGACGGATGGACAAAGACCAAAACTTTGCCAAGAATTATATGGCCAAGATTGACGACATGGAGAAGAAAAATTATATTTCAAAGCTGTCGCGAAAAGAAGCTGGAGAATATGGTGAAAAAATATGGTATCTCCCACATTTCGGCATTACTAATCCAAATAAACCAAATAAATTAAGAATAGTATTTGATGCAGCATCCAGATCAAATGGGGTAAGTCTGAACGATTTTCTACTTACTGGACCAGACCTTTATAATTCTTTACACACCATTCTTTTGAATTTTCGCATAAAGAAATTCGCTTTCACCGCTGATATCAAGGAAATGTTTCTTCAAGTCGAAGTCAGAAAAGAAGATCGAGCAGCTCAGAGAATTCTTTATCGAGGAATGGAGAGAAATAGAGAACCGGACGTTTATGAGATCAATGTTGTCTTTTTCGGTTCAGTCAGCGGTCCATGTCTGGCACAAGAAGCCAAAAATAGAAATGCGCGTGATTTTGAAAAGAATTACCCTGAGGCTGCTGAAGCAATAATCCAATCTCACTACATGGATGACTACCTAGGAGGAGCAGACACCGAGTTGGAAGCTGAAAAGCTGATTCACGATTGTATTTATGTACATAGTAGGGGAGGTTTTGTAATCTGCAACTGGATTGCGAATTATCAATGCATACTCAGAAATGTAGACCAGACACTTTTAGCAGACAGCCAGAAGAATTTTGATAAATCAGATTCGTCAACAGAACGAATACTTGGAGTTTGGTGGAACCCAAAGGAAGACAACTTCAGATTTCAAACAAGATTCCATAAGATCAGCAAAGATTTATTAGAAAATAAGAAGATACCAACTAAACGAGAGGTTCTGAAAGTTGTGATGTCGGTATTTGATCCACTGGGATTCTTAGGAAATTTCATAGTTCACGGGAAGATACTACTGCAGGATATCTGGAGGAGTAAAGTTGACTGGGATGACGAAATTCCAGATTCGTTATATGAAAAATGGAATACGTGGATGAATGACCTGGATAACATCTATCGTTTCAGACTACCTCGACAATATTGTGCGATGGACAGAATCAGCAGCTCAATTCAATTGCATATATTTTGTGATGCTTCTGAAAATGCTTACGCATGTGTTGCTTATACTCGGTGGCAGCAAAACAAAGAAGTCAAAGTATGCTTCATGAATGCGAAAACTCGAGTATCTCCTCTAAAACCTCTGTCTATACCTCGTCTTGAACTGCAGGCAGCTCTGATGGGAGCGAGATTAGGACTGTACCTGAAAAACAATATACAACTCAATATTTCTAATACATTTTATTGGACAGACTCGAAGACTGTGTTGTATTGGATTCGTTCAGAGGCCAGACGCTTTCCCATGTTCGTCGCGCAACGACTTGGAGAAATTCAAGAAATCACAAATGTTTTCGAATGGAATCATGTCTCTTCCAAGGAGAATGTTGCCGATGAAGCCACAAAACGCTACGGAAAGTTGGATTTTTCTGAAAGAAGTAGGTGGATAAATGGACCTCCATTTTTATTAGAATCAATGGATAAATGGCCTAAAGAAGAAAGTAAAGATTCAGAAATTAACTATGAAGAGGCAGAAACGAAAAAGGAATTCGTTATTTTACAAGTGATAAGACACCTAATAGATGGTCCAGATCCTGAAAGATTCTCAAAATGGCAACGAATCTTGAGATCGACTGCTTGGATGAACAGATTTATTGACAACTGCAGAAAAACGAATAGGAATGGTGAGTTAGATGAAACTGAACTAAGAAGATCAGAACATCTATTATTGAGAAAGTCACAAATGGAATCATTTCCTGAAGAAATAGCCATTTTGAAAGCGGACAGAAAAATAACAACATCCAGTAGGTTATTTTCTCTTGACGTGATTATGAATGAAGATGGACTTCTGAGGCTTGGAGGAAGGTTGAACAATGTATCAAACCTACATCAGGATACGAAAAATCCTATTATATTGGATCCCAAGAATAAAATTACCAAGTTGATAGTCCAATTTCACCATGAGCTTGTGAATCACCATGGACAAGAACAGGTGATAAACAACTTACGACAAAAATACTGGATATTAAGAATGCGACAAGCTGTGAGAAGTTGCTGGTCAAATTGCCAAAGATGTAGAAACAGAAGAAGCATTCCAGTTGAACCAATCATGGGACAACTACCGACATGTCGACTAGAACCTACAATCCGACCATTCATCAAGACAGGAGTGGACTACTTTGGACCTCTGGGAATAACCGTGAAAAGAACTCACGAAAAAAGGTACGGTGTCATCTTCACGTGTATGGTAACTCGCGCAATCCACTTAGAAATTGCTAATGATTTGAGCACTGATGGATTCATCAATGTATTTAGACAGTTTGGAAGCCGAAGAGGATTTCCCGAAGAGATCTACAGTGACAATGGTCTTTGTTTCAAAGGAGCTGCAAGAGAACTCACCGAAAATCTTCAAAAATTAGACCAGTCAGAAATTCGGAAATTTTGTTCTTTGAGGAATATAAAGTGGGTTTTCAATCCTCCACTAGCTCCATTTATGGGTGGAGCTTGGGAACGCTTAATTCAATCAATCAAGAAAAACCTCACCGAAGTCCTGACTGAAAAATTCCCTCAAGAATACGTGCTAAGGACGGCACTTGTAGAAATCGAAAATATACTCAATTCAAGACCACTGACTCACGTCTCAACTGACCAAAATGATCCCGAAACTTTGACTCCTAATCATTTTTTGATTGGACCATCGTATGCCTCTCTACCATGTGCGAAGATAGAAGAAAATAATATAAATCTCTTGAAGAAATGGAAAATTGCCCAAAAACTTGCAGATTCTTTTTGGAAAAGATGGTCACGAGAATATGTTCTATCACTTATCAAGAGGACTAAGTGGCATAATGATCCCACAAACATCCAAATAGGAGATATAGTTTTGATAGCTGATCCGAATGGACCAAGAAACTGTTGGCTAAAAGGAAAAATAGTTCAACTTTACCCTGGTAAAGATGGGAGAGTTCGAGTAGTTGATGTTATGACCGCTAGCAAAACAGTATTTCGACGTCCAGTTTCCCGATTATGCATACTACCTGTGAACGACAAAACTATCAAGAAAGACAATGAAGAAGAAAGTAATTGTGCTCAAGAACTCATGGAGAACAATTACTGAGGAGGAGAAATGTGGAAGATTAGAAATTATTATATTTTATGTTGAACACGTTGTATAAATGTTCATATATCAAGTTAGAACTTTGTGTCAAAAAAAAAGACAGATGAAAATATAAATACAATTTGGAGAATAGTGAAAGTTAATTTTCGTTCTTCGAGACCGGATTGTCAAGTAAATTCCTACAATTTTAGGTAAATATATTCATCAGTGATTATTGTGTTCAGATTTTTATTATCATATTGACAATAATTGATTTTATCATAAGATTCTTTCAATTAAAATCGTCGAGTCGTGCAAAAATGGTATATAAACCTCGGAAGTGAGTTATTTCTTCCCTCAGTGCATTGTAGCACCCTCTGGCTACAAAACCACCTCTGGAAAAATCATGCACTTCAGTCTCTCGATTTATAATCTACTATTATTTTACATAAAACACGGAATAAAAAAAGAACATTAATTGGATTGACATCACATAGGTATTCTGTTTACAGCCAAAATTACAATAAAAAAACTGCACGTGATGATAATCATAATCATGTTGAAAAAAATTATTGCATTCTTATGGAGTCTTGAGCAAATTTATCAATAACTTTGTTGATAAAATTAACTCATTATATATCTATAAGATGTCGATGAATACTAATTGAACAAAGTCATCACTGTAATAAGCGCTAATCAGAATAGGAATTGAATAATGCAAATGTATCTTGTGTCCCCCCTTACCTCCCCCTCTGGACGCCCCTGAGGGCTATGCTCATCAAAGGTAACCTAACAGATAGTTTGTGTGCCCCTCAAGAAATCATATCAAAATCACGTGTTCTGGAATAGTCAATACCTGATGAAATGACTAGACATGTCAGGGAATGACGTATTTCTCTGATTGACGCCGACATGTATAACTTAAGTACGTTATTTGTTTCAGGTCAAATACACCAGCGTCTTCACATCCGCAAAAATGAAGATAATGTACGATGCTATGAAAAAAACCATTACATATATGTTACCTTTATTGGAGGACAGCGCCAAAAGGAATCTTGATGTAGATGTTTTAGACACAACGGCACGTTTCACTACTGACTCAGTTGGTAAGTTCGGTTCGTTAATCTATGGTTCGAGCTAATTCATAAATGTGAAAACCTTCATGGGCGATGGGATTTTTACTAAATTCTTCACTATACGACATATGTTTCGCTAACACAGTAGCTTCTTCAGCTGAAATACCTACTATTTCTAACAATCGTATACTGATTTCCATTATTAAGTTAGGTTGGGTTAGGTTACAATAGTGAGTGAGTATATTCAGCCCTCCACTGCGATCAAGTAGATCCAGCTTCTTAATGAAGCCGATTAGTTTACTTGGTGAGTGATCTTTTGGGTCCGAGGGCGAGAGTAAAACCGTAGCAAACAGAAAAACCTGATTCGAGCCTCTGAGGAAAATTCCAATTAGCCATGGTCAGAAATCGAATTACCCCAGCAAGAAACTCTAATAACATAGGGTACTAGCGAGTTATCACCTGTGATTATAAAGTCAACTTTGCTGATTTTAACCCACCTGCGATTTTTTTTTATCGCTTGGAGCGCACGTAAGGGAATCCCTATGATGTTCAAAGAACATCGTGCGTTCCTAGGGAGGATAGGGACAGGAGGTAGGTATTGGATTTTTTTTTGAACTTCTGGAGATTATATGTTGTTGGGAATACTTCCACAGGCAATGAATTCCAGAGCCTAGCCGTTCTATGGATGAAAGAGTCTTGAGAAATAGCTGTTCGACATCTTTCGAGGTTGACAACGAAAGGATGTGCTGACTGGGCTTGTCTAGTTCGTCTGATTGGTATTGCTAGTGAAGGGATGATAGCAGAGATTTCCGAAGAACATTTCCCGTGGAAGTATCGATAGAAAAGTGAAAGGTCGCCGACCTTTCTACGGTGTTCCAATGATGTCAAAGAGTGAGTGAGTGTGGCGTCACCCACCAGGCGAATGGCTCTTCTCTGGATGGAATCTAAGAGCATCAGCGTATGTTTTGGTGCTGAACCCCATATGTGGGAACAGTATTCTAGAACAGGCCGTATCTGCGCTTTGTAGATCATGAGGAGCTGTTGAGGTGTAAAGTAGCTTTTCGCACGAAACAAGAATCCGAGTTTTTGTGAAGCAGCTTTTGCGATGGATCTGACATGATTATCCCATGAAAGAGTGTTGCTGATGGAAATACCGAGCATAGATATGGTGGGCTTGGTGGGGATGGTGGAGCCAGACATTACAATATCGGGCATACTGAGTTCCGCCTTTCTAGAGAAAATGCAGGCTTGAGTTTTGGTGGCGTTGAATTCAACTAGGTTGTTTGTTCCCCAGGCTGTGATTTCAGCAAGATCTTCATTGACAGCATTGACCTGCCTGCGCCGTGAGTTCTTAGTTTCCTGGGAAGAAATGGGAATCCTGGAAGAGAACGCAGTATGGAGGGTACTATCATCTGCAAATCTGTGGATGGGGCAAGTTGTTACTCCCAACAGATCATTGATATGAAGCAGGAATAATGTTGGTGCCAAAATTGATCCTTGTGGAACGCCGGAATCGATGCCAAAAGTATCAGACGATACACCGTCCACCACCACGTAAAGCGATCTGCCTGAAAGAAAACTCGATAAGAGATGGCATAGCTTATTATTAGATATAGAACTTTGCTGCCACTAGCGAGTGCATCTGAATATTGCTATCAGACGATGTTTGTGCAGTAGGTATCTGACTTTGCTACCGCTAGTGAGTGCATCTGATAATGGGAGTAGGGCAATGTTATAATCGTAGGGAGGGAACTTTGCTACTCTTGATGGGTGATAATAAAGATAGTTGCATGACCTTCTTGCTGTAGTTATTCAGTTATTTTCCAAGATTGTTGTCAACAAGAAAGATGAAATTTTGACTGATATCCAATTCCACATTTTTCTCAGTGTGCTGTTTCACCATTTTCAAGGCAAAGACAGCATCGTCGGATCATCCGACAGCCCATTTGATAATTCAGACAACAGTGGCATGTTAGTGAGCATATAGGTGTTCCCTGCTGTATTCTAACATTGGTTTGGTGACATTCTTCGAATGATGAATAAATGCCTCGGAAGGAGCCAATCCTGGTAGAATCTGGCAGTAGTCTGAAACTCATTTTGCTGTCCAGGTGTTCAGTATATGTTTGGCAAAACTTGGTGAGATGCCAACATGGCAGCTTCTGGTCCAATGAAACTACTTGTGACACCTTCCCTTGCAAGGAAATCTGCCGTTTCGTTACCCTCCATAACAAAGGGGCCAGGAATCCTGATCAGAAACAATTTATTGAGTCTTCCGTTCGCGGAGAGTATTTTTGGACAGGTCAATCCCAGTCTAGATGCAAGGTGTTGAAAGTAAATTATCTATAGGGACTTTGCTCGGTTTGAGCTGAGTGCTTTTCACAGTAAATGGATTTCAGTTTTAGTCGAGGAAAACATATAATATTCATCTAGGGTGAGAATGCTATTATGTCATTCTTGCTATACAGGGAGGATGTATCTAAATAACACCGAAAAAATTCAAGGGATGTTTCCTTGTGACATTCTAGCAAATAAAGTTTATATAAACATGTGTCCTAACTTGCTTCGTTTTTCTCACTCAAGATGTATAAAAATATTCTATTTCAGGTTCGACGATATTCGGTGTGGAATGCAATTCTTTCAAAGATCCAGATGCGGAATTCAGAAATCTCGGAATACATTTGCTCGAGCAGTTTTCCCCAATAGACAGAATGCGTTTATTCATGGTGATATATTTTCCCAAATTGGCAGCGAAATTGAATATCTCCAATATCCAAACAGAGGTATCGACGAAATTCACTCGACTTATCAAAGACACAGTGGAGTACAGGGAAAAAAATAATGTATCCAGAAAAGACTTTCTAGATATGTTGATCCAATTGAAAAACTCAGGACAACATATAACTTTGGACGAATTAATCGGACAGGTAAGTTTTCGCGAGCCATTTTTGTCATTGTGGATATTCTTATTCAGAGAGGGCAAGATAATTGTGAATTTGTCAAAATTGTGTCTTATCGTTACCACCGATACAACAAGGCCTTCATGCTCCGTGGGTGACGTCACTTAGTGAGGCCTAACCAGCGGCTCGAAACGACAAGCGCTTATAGCGCTATAAGGCGACCGCGTATTTCGATTTTAGTTTTAGATCATCATTGAGCCGATTTTGCTGTTTTTTGATGGGCTACCGGTTAAAAAAGGATGCCAGTCGTCAACTGAGCCCTTCTTCGCACCCCATTCGATCTTATTATGGAAAAACGATGTTTTAAAGCAAAAACCAAGATAAAACACAAATATCCACCTACAGCAACCCATTCGAATTAAATATATTGGCAAAAATTGTGGTGAAGGTAAACTTCACACCTACTTATACAGGGCCCGCAGAACATAAACTTATCGTGAGCTTGATCGAAAGAAAATTGGGGAAAATGTATTTTATTTTGATTGACATGCCGTTTGTTACAATTACCTATATTTATCTTGGAAAATTCCTATTACTTGAAAAAATAACCAGTGAGTGTTTTCAATTTTCTGTTGTTGGATTTTTCACCCAAGTGGATCGTTACACTTGAAACCGTAATTTTTAAGGCTAAAACTGCATTTATCATGCGATGGTTTTTTTTTTCGAAAATTTGTTTCGGTACTCACGTATTTTTGTCTGATAAAACAAATTTTATAATGAAAATGTGAACAAACCACTATGTATTGAGATATTTCAAGAAAAAGTTCGAAATTTCGCCTTCTTTCTCCCCTCGTTTCTCCCCTTGTGTTGGGGGCATTTGAAGCTACTTGCTCTTATTTTGTCATTGGACACTTTATATACTCATGATGTACTTCGATGGCACATTTTTATATAGAAAATTCAACAGGAAACATGATTTTTATGGCGAGTTTTTCATATTTAGTGAACAAGCATTCCAGATGACGACCATTCAATCGATAGTCAATCAAAATATAGGATATCAAATGTCAATAGATTGCTCGATAGCTCCTCGTCCAACGGGAAACTAAAAGCATGAACTTTTGAACCACCCACATAATTCCCCCGACAAAAGGGAACACAACACTTGAAAGGCATTGTTATTTCGCCGATCACAACACAAAATATTTCACAAAACAGTAATTTTTCCGCCAATTATTTCGATGAATAAACAACAAACGAATTCGGGACCGTTTCAAAAACATACGTGAATCACCGATGAATTAACACGACATGCGTTAGTCGACAAGCGATAAAATAAAACACTGGCCTCTCTTGGTGACGTAACGAGCTGTTTACTTCAGAGTCTGTTGGCCTTGTTGTATCGGTGGTAACGGTCTCATACCGTGAATTGTGGAGCGTTGGCAGAGTCCACTCTGATGTAGTCGGAAACACTGCGACTACTGCGAGTTGTAGATCCCGACACGAAAAAATACGCGAATCTGCCTTGAAGAAATTAGATTTTTATAAAAACCGTGATTGGGAGTGCTGCCCAAGGAAAGTAAGAAAGTTGTTTGTGGTACAGTCGTATTCAATAAAAAACCGTACAAGTATTAAACATAGAAGATTTCGGCATTCTATAGTTCTCGTTGCGTAAAATTGACTCAGATAATGCTTCGTGTTTTTGAGAACCTATGATTACTCTACTGGTAAACATTCATTCCCGTTAGCCCGTTTTACGCAAATATGATGTGTTTAATTTCTTCCTCCAATATACTTGTATGCTTTTTTTTTTAATACGACTGTACAATCGAAAAATGGTGTGATAGAGCAGAGCTCTCTATCAATCAGACACAGACACAGAAATACAACATAGAGTAGAATGGATAGTGAGATTAACAAAGCGTTTATTCAAGGTGTGCAAGGGCAATTGACTTCAAAAATAGTTAATTGATTGCTTTAACTAGTAACTTTCATTCATTTGAAGAGGAATGAATTATCATCAGATTCGAAATTAATTGAATCAATTGATATGAATCATGACTGAATCAGCAGACATTTTTGTTAAAATCAAAGTCCTAGCTGTGCTGTGAAATATTTTATTTTATAAAAATTTTTGAGTACTTATAATGAATTTCGATATGTACCGATATATCCTTAGATTATTTACCTACGTAGGTAAATAATCTGATATCTATCTATCGATATATCGATTTTTTTTATGATATCGTTATTCGTTATATCGATATACATGGATATACCTTTGAAGACATTCATTTAGATGCTTGGTATTACTATCAGCAATAACCATTCTTGGGAAAATAACGTGAGATCAATTGCTAAAAGTGCATCCCAAAAACTTGGTTTCCTGTTTCGGGACAGGAGCTATTTCACTTCCAGTCAGCTGCTTATGATCTATGAGGCACAGATCCGACCTGTCCTGGAATACTGTTCCCATATTTAGAGTGCAGCACCCAAACATACCCTGAAACTGTTGGATTCTGTCCAAAAAAGGGCAATTCGTCCTTGGGTGATGCCTCGCTCACAAACTCACTCACTCCTCTGGAACACCGTAGAAATGTTGGCGATCTGGCTCTATTTTATAGATATTTCCATGGACGATGCTCTTCTGAGATATCAACAATTGTTCCTCCCTTGGCAGTCCCCGCGAGATTAACCCGTCCAGTTGAGGCTTCGCACCCCTTCGTGGTCACTTTGGAGACCTGCAGAACATCTTTTTCCAAAGTACTCGTTCATCTAACGAACGGCGATAGGCTCTGGAACAAATTGCCAAGGGAGGTGTTCCCCGAGGCATATAACCTCCAGAAATTCAAGGAGAACACCAATTCCTACTTTATTTCCCTTGGTTCTCACGATGTTCTCTGAACATTACAGGATTTCCCTCTTTGTGGGAACCAGAACATGAAGAAAAAATATATATACAGATCCGCTCTGTATGTCAGAAGGTCCTTCGCGTGGGTCAGAGGGTCCTTCGCGTGGTGCAGAGGTGGCTGGTGTTGGCCAAGGAATGTGAGTGTATAATATACGAGGTGTAAGTCACAGAGGCCTATCTCCTAGGGCTAAACCCGTTATATAGGTAGTCTTACTGAGGGTATCCAGGGGGGTGGAGGGGCTGATCCAACACGTCAAATACCTAATTGTGGTTTTGGATCCCAGACTTTCATAAAGACCGTACGTAGATATAGGGTTGTGCAAAGTCATGAAGGAGGTTCGTTGGCTCGTTGGGTACACATGCACAGCCGTCGTAAGACCAAAGATTCAGTGCGAATCAGCTGTGTGGTGGGTAGGTGCAGAAACCAAAGAAATTAGTCGAAAGCTAAGTAGGGTTCAAAGGATGGCCTGCTTGGCGATAACTGTAGCACTGAGAACGATGCCAGTGGGGTTGTATGTACACACTAGTCAAATTTACGCCACATACCGATTTTATATTGGTCATTCCAAGTTTGAATAGTATTCGAAGATAATCCTCATATTATCTGATTCTCCAGTCGTGTGTTGACATTTCGAAACGTAAAACTACGATTTGGCTGGGATCTGGTAAATATTTTTGGTGGTGTTGGTTTTTCCGGCTGGTTAGTGTAGTTATTATGGGATACCCTGTATATCCTGTATATATATATCGGAAACAGCTGATCTGTCCAAATGATATCTTCTCCAGATTTCAATGAATATGTAATATCGATTACCTCGAAAGTGTCCAGTTGTAACGCCTATAGTACCTATATTATCTTTCAATTTTCAGACATTTGTATTCTTCCTTGCTGGATTCGAAACCTCTTCTAGTACCACAACGATGACATTGTACGAACTTGCTGAGAATCAAGATGTTCAGGACAGACTAAGAGAAGAAATAACAAGCACCTTCGAGAAGAATAACAACGATTTGTCGTATGAAGCGCTCATGGGAATGAAATACCTTGGTCAAGTAATCGATGGTAAGAACATAAATTAAGTTTATACAAAATAATGTGAAGTTCCCTTTGAAGTGAGTGCAGGTGCGGCACGAGACGCTTCCGTCAAAGGGAATCATTGCCTGTCATGGTGGTTCACATGTTAATCATTATTCTGAATCACTAAACTAGACAGAGGGCTATATGGAATAGGACCATTATCCTTATTCATAACTTTATTACTATTCACGTTATTCGACACTAGGCATTGTGGCTAAAGTATTTGATTTTTTGGAAGTTTTTTTTTTTCGAAAATATTTTCATGTTATACAGAGTGAGCTAAAAACACGAAATGTGTCCGTTTCTATTTTTTTAAATAGATAAATAGAATGCTCTGTATACTCTTGCATTTTCAGATTTCCGCTGAAGAGCTGATTCCATCAATGCATCACCCTTGTGTTCTAGCGGAAAATGATTACAGAGATATATATAGGGTGTTCAAAATCGAGATTCATCAACTTTAGGTTTTATGTGTCGAAACTATTCATTATCGTTCCAAACGGCTTCCATGTCCTTGTCCTAATTTGTGATTCACTATCAACTATCAACATTTAATTGAAACAAATATAGGATGGTTCCAATTAAATGTCAGTAGATGAAAAATCAGAAAATCAGATAGGGACATTTGAATACCCTATGTCTCTGTAATCAATCCCGCTGAACCCCAAGTGTGATGTATTAATCCAATCAGCTCTCCAGGACAAATATGAGAATGCTGATATACAGGGCATTTTATTTAAAAAATAGCAGCTCCGATATATTTCGAATTTTTGCCGTACCCGAAGACAAAAACTTTCGAAGAATCAATATTGCTTTATAGCCACAATGCTTCGTGTCGAGTAGAGTGAATCACTCTGTTTATGCAGAAAATTCTCTGAAATCATTAACTAGTTCGACTTCTTGAAGTATATCAATGCGTGTGTTATAATTGTGATCGAAATTGATTCATCTAACCTACCACATTTCAAATGGGCTAGGTGTTCTTTGAACTTATGGGCCGCCTACTTGGCCAATATCTAACTTCTCAAGTGTGCATGTCCACTTCATCATTTCAATCGCCTAACAAATTGCCTAATATTCACTCAGACCGATATACTCTTTCAAGACCAAAGACTCTGGAAACCTCATCAGGTCTTTTGTATACCTACTTGAGATCGAACGAGATTTCGATTATTATGGAATATTTACTTTTTATCTACTTGAAAAGTCATCGAGTTCCGAAGGGTTAACTTGAAATCATGTGTACCAACTAGTTCATCTACTGTTTTGATATCATAACCATTGACACGAATATAACCATCGCAACACTTCTTTCAACATTCAATCATTCTTAGTTCAGAGGAAATGGAACTTATCTCTGTACTAGATAATTTAAACTCGTCATTTTATGTTGAGAACAGTGGTTGGATTCAGTTCAGACCAGAACATTTCGATACAAGCAAACTTACCTCAGTACCAAAACACGTACTGAAAGAATACGCATATTTTTATTTTATTCAAACGATGAGAGAAATTCCATAAAAATATGCAATGACGAAATATTCATTTTGACAGCGGCTCCAAATAAGACCTTGAAATGATGTCTTCTCTTCTCCTTTTCAATAGGTCGCGTGCACGAAGACCGACCCTGGAGGCAAAATATTGAAACACAACCTCATTCTTCTGTGAATTATTGAAACACAACCTCACTTTTTTATTTGGTTACAGAGGAATCAAAAGGTTGAAATAGTTTTTCACAATATTTTGGCTTACGAATCGTGTTTCTTGTGTTATTCATTAATTCAAGCATGCCTTCGCATTGTGCTGTTGTAAAATGCACAAAAAATGCAGCAAGAGACTAGGGAATATGATTTTTCAGGTAAATAGTAATCTCACATAGTTATCATTATGAAATGTTCTCATTCCTTATTAAAATTCCTTCTGCCTTCTGCCACTTCTGCAATACAAGCTAATGCTGCTAATAGATTATTGAAAATGTCTACAACACACACGATCGTCAGCATGTCAGACCAGTCCTCCCGATTGATTGCATGAATCCAATCTTCTTGCTTTATTCTAGAAATTTCAGGTATATTTCTATTAGCTCCTATTGCAGAAGGAATTCCGATGAGAAATCAGAGAAATAACCAAATTTCAAAAATGAAAACTATGTGAGTGACTATAGTAGGTACTTACTTTTAAATCATAATGTACCATGCGGATTGCTTCATCTTCCGCTGCAGTTTTTATGCATTTTACAACAGCACAATGTGATGGCATGAGCGAATTGATGAATAGCGGAAAAATACGATTCATAAGCCAAAATAATTGTGGAAAACTATTTCGATCACTTGTAAACAAATAAGAAAAGTGACGTTGTGTTTCAATGTTTTGCCTCCAGCGTCGGTCATCTGACAGTTCTTGCACGCAACCCATTGGTTACTAACCTAACCTAACTTAACCTATCGTACTCTGAGATGGCAATAATATTTGGTGTGCACCGCATCTTTGCATATATACGTCCAGCAATCGTGTCAGTATAGACTTGCCCACTATATTATACAGTCTGTCCAAGATATAAGGTTGAACAGCATGGGGATCTCGAAAACGGTAAGAGATACGAAATCGGTTAAATGGGGAAAAAGTTGCGCATTTGGAGGCTCATATCAAGAGCCTTCGAAAATTTCGAAAATTATTTTTAGTTTTTGAGTTATATCGAAAAAAGTGAATTTTTGGAATTTGTATTTTATTTTTTTTCTCCGTTATTATCAGAGATACAGCAAAACTGAGAATACTTTTTCATAGCAACTTTTGATGACGGTCAACGTGGTGATACCGATTTTTTCATGCGACGTTTCGTATTCGTGGAACCATCATCAACTTTTGTTTTTTGAACACGGTCCTGATAATTTTTTCACAGATTCTAAAAGATTTTTTCATTCTAAATTCAACCATGTATTATACAAGGTGGTTCATTTGTGTTTCGACCTATTTTTGGCCATCATCAATGTTTTTTCGAAACTCCAAAGGAAAAATGCCATCAGTTCCACTTATTTTGAAGGAAAATTAGTCAACACACTAATACCTCATCAACAACCCATTTCATTTTGCGGAAACAAAAATTCCATCCATACAAATTCAGAATATGTCAAGCGCTAAAACCAGGCGATGACGAAAGGCGCAAGACATTCTGTGAGTGGTATACCAGGAAATGTTAAAATTTTGCAGATTTCTTTCGAACAATCATCTGGACTGATGAAAGCATTGTCACTAATCATGGTAGCTTCGATAGAAAAAATACACATTATTGTTCACGAGAAAATGAACATTTATACATTACAGCGAGACACCAACACCGTTTCGGCTTTAATATGTGGGTTGCAATATTTGGTACACGAATTATTGTTCCTTCTATTTACCATGAAACACAGACTTCCGAACGTTATAGAAATTCGCTTGAGAATCATCTTGAGGAAGCTCTGGATGATTTACCGATTGCGGAAGTTCAGAACTCTGTTGGTTTCAACAAGATGGCGCTCCGGTACGCATATAAGCAAAACGTACATCTATTTGGCAAACGGCCTGTATCTACGCGATCTGATTGGTTGATGCCAAATAACAGTACACATTGCTATACCGGCGCCAAATAGGTGTACAATTTGCTGCAGATCTTCTCGCTGCCAATAGGCAGTACGAATTGCGTATGATACCTAAAATGGATGTACACTTTGCCATCTGCATAGGACTCGCGCTTTTGTTTTTGTTTTTGGTCACTGGTCAGTCATTATTATGCAAGCAGCACGTGCATCCTATCATTGAGTTGAATACCTAGTTGAGTTTGATTTCAATACCTTATTTCAATATGGAATTACCCCAATCTTTCAAATATGAGACGAATGGAGTTACTAACAATGATAATATAACAATTTATGGAGATTTACACAATCTAGATTCTAGAAAAAGGTGATATGCATGTGGATTCGGGAATTTTCTAGGTTAAATCACACGAAATAGATCGTACGTGAAAGTGCTCCCAATTAAAAACTTTTTGTGTGTTCGTGAGTATAGCTAAGTAATAATGATTTATTACTTATTATGAATTTAAATCTGTGCTGAAAGTGCGGTGATATTTATGATAGTTTTGATGTAACAGAAGATTTTTTTTTGTTAGATTTCGTTAGGGGTTTGGAGGAGGTAGGGGTGGGTAGAAGCAATAGGAATTATTCAGCACGACTTTGTATGTAGATATTTCACAAGTGGAAGCTTTCGTGACTGTTTGATTAAACAATAAGTATTCATGGGAATATTCGTGTGAAGCAGTCGAATGTGATCAATCAGTAAGATTCGTTTTTTGTCGAGCTTTGGAAAATGTGTAGGTACCTATTTCATGTTAGTAGGTATATCAATTTCATTGATGTGATTTATATCTATATATTATTAACATTATTGTTCATTCGATGTTTCAGTTTAATCTTGATAAAGAAAAAAAAAACATTTTCGAAAGCTCGTCAAAAAACAAAGAAGTCTCTTACTGATTGGTCACATTCGATTGCTTACCAAGAAAATGTATATGTGTATAGTGAATACAGTGTGTTTCATTAATAATTGAAAATATTTGAATAATTTAATAGAACATATTTCGACTATAAAATCTTGAGCTCAAAATATTAAGATTCAACCCAAATCACATAGATAGAATGTGTCTCCTGTCTGAGTAACAGCCAACAGGGTGTTTTATTAGTTACTATATTAAAAAAAAATCATATTACGTTATTATGCTCTTTTTTTGTAAGTGAGTTAATGTTGTGAATCATCTATAGGGTGTTGAAAACCTAGTATAGTATGTAGGCGGTTCTTTTTTCAAGAAAGTTTATATTTATATATAACTCACCTGTATAATGAATATACGTATCTTTTACAGAAAAAAATATTTTTGCCATCACAGCTCATTCAAAAAGCGAACCAACACAAACAAGAAATAAAAAAATTGCGAATGTAAGGCTAAAATTACAATAGTGGTTAGGAAAACTACAAAAAATACAATCACAAAGCATCTACATGTTAAGGTGAGGAAAATATTGAGAATAGAGATGTTATCTGATGTCACGTGACCGAAAACGTAAAGCTCATTGGGTAATATAATATTCAACCCCAAAATTACAATCTTCTACTACTCTTGAGTTTCGAGATATTCCCTGTCTTAATTGTCGTGGGACACCCTGTACATTTATGTTTTTAGAATGCACTATCGATGTGTGAATGTGCTGAGTATTTTCGATTTTGTATTATTATTATTATAATAAATCTTTGAAATCCCATGCAGTTATTGCAGTTTCAATTTGATGCCATAACGTACAAGCGCTGACGCGACTCCTACAATATGTGTTATCTGGCATACACATGCATTTTCAATTCACGCGCAAAACGTACATGACTCTGACTCCACAATGGCAAAACGTACTGTTATTTGGCTTCAACCAATCAGAAAGCGTAGACACAGGCCGCATGCCAAATAGATGTACGTTGTGCTTATATGCCTCCGGTACATAATTCCAGAGAAGTCCGTGCGTTTTTATCCCTTGGCCGGCGCGGTCGCCTGATTTGACACAGCTGGATTTTTTCTTAGGGGATATATCGAACTTTGTACACGCAAATAACTTTGAGGATGAAGAAGAACTAAGGGACAGTGTCTTCGAAGCATTCAATAGAATAACCCCAGAAATGCTTAGCAATGTCTTAGAAACAACTGTGAGAAGAGGATATCTTTGTTCAGAAAATAATGGTTATCATTTTGAACATTTGTTATGAATGTCTCTGTAGGTATTGTCAAAGTTAAGTTGTTAAAGTAATTCGTGTAAGAATTCATCAACAATTTTAAACGCTGCATTGATCGAATGATGTAGTGAAATATTTTTCATTCACTTTTCAGTATTGAATAACTAATCCATCAAGTTTGACACTGAATGATAAGAAATAAGTGGAACTGATGGCTTTTTTTCTTTTGGAAGTTCGAAAAAACATTGATGATGGATAGAAATAGGTCGAAACACATTCGAATCACCTTGTATAGTACATTGTTGAATTCAGAATAAAAAAACCTTTCAGAATCTGTGAAAAAATTATCAGGACCGTTTTTAAAAAACAAAAGTTGATGATGGTTCCACGAATACGAAACGTCGCATGAAAAAATCGGTATCACCACGTTAAACCTCATCAAAAGTTGCAATAAAAAAGTATTTTCAGTTTTTCTGTATCTCTGATAATAACGGAGAAAAAAAATAAAATAGAAATTCCAAAAATTCACTTTTTTCGATATAACTCACAAACTAAAAATAATTTTCAAAATTTTCGAAGGCTCTTGATATGAGCCTCCGAATGCGCAACTTTTTCCCCATTTAAGCGACTTCGTATCTCCTACCGTTTCCGAGATCCCCATGCTGTTCAACCTTATCTTGGACAGACTGTATATCCGCAATAACTACGACATTAATATTCCTTTTTATTTTATACTTCCAGAAACTCTGAGGATGTGGCCTCCAGTAATATCCCTCTTGAGGGTGTGCGTAAAGGATTTCAAGTTTCCAGATAGTGACTTACTAATTGAAAAAGGAACAAGAATCATCATCCCAGCTCTGTCACTACATAGAGATCCAGACCATTTTCCAGACCCGTTGAAATTTAGTCCAGACCGTTTCGAAGATAAGAATAAAAAATACCCAGCATATTTACCGTTCGGAGATGGACCTAGAAATTGTATTGGTGGGTGAACATGATTCGAATGAATTCTTTGATACAATAATGATTTGCCCCAAGATGTCAGGGCTTTCGTTTCAAAACATATAAAAGAATGTTTAGTTTTATAGGAAAATTGACCCCTTGTTTCAAATTACTGAATAACCATAATAGACATCGTTTTTTGATTGTTGTCACCATTGCAGTCACCTCAACCAGAATACGATTTGCTGTAACGATAAAACATACAGGATGTTTATAAATCTAATTTTATTTTTAATGTTCAAACTTATATCTCTAAAATGAAGCTCTTCACGACCAATGCTAGGGAAAAAATTGTATATTTTAAATATTTGCTTGCATCATCTTGTTTTCGAAATGGTTCCAACATGTGGGCTCATTCCTCACGATTTCGGATTTCACTTGGACACTGATAACATATGTTTTTATTTTTAGGTTTACGTTACGGCTTGATGCAAGTCAGAGTAGGTTTGGCAACCATATTGAGGGACTACAAAGTTTTGCCAAGTCCATCCACTAAAAGACCATTGGAGATTGATCCAGATACGTTCCTTCTTAGAACGACAGAACGTGTATGCTTGAAATTCGAAAAAATCAATTGATTATCAAATTTTTCTAGTCAGAAAAAACACAAATAAAGGAATTATCTATTGAATACTTTGCTGTTATTCGTATACCTACCCAGCGAGCACAAAAACATAGCGAGCACAAAAACATCTCAGAGATGTTAAAAGTACGAGATTTCGAGACATTGAACCTCTACTGCGATGTTCTGTTCACACATGAATAGAACCATTATAGAACAGCCAATGTCCGCCACAGGCGGCAATTATCGAGATGTCCTTGATATGTCACAAAACTACCTTCTCCCTAGTTCTTTTTAAAGCCTTTTCATGGACACAACAAAACATTTTCAACGCGTCTTGCGCACATTAAAACGCTGTAAAAAAAAACATTTTCGAGGTACTTTTCCGAGTACTTTTCTGAAGCCTTTTGTCGAAATGAATTTTTGCATTAGGATTCCATTTCCCTTGAATGAAAAAATGCATTAAAAATAGATTGAACATACATTTTTGAATTTTCTTGATATGAAATTACCTTCTTAATCGATTTCTGATTAGTGCTTACTACACACAGACATATATTGGAAATAGGTTTCCCAATTTTTGAAATGTTCTCCACAATGCATAATTTTGCAACTGCGGAGAAGCTGTGTATTGATGAATTCGTATTTTTATATATTGATTACACTGAGGCACCGAACAACACATATTGCATCTGGTGGTCATTATTACAAACTAAATAGGTCTTCTAACACAATAAACTTCACCAAATTCCTTTCTGTTCGTTAGCAGCGTGATGTAAGCGTGACACGCTGCAAACGCGAATGCCAATTGCGAACAAGAAGAACAAAATCGGTAACAAATCAGAATTCATCGTATTGTGACGTAAGCATGAGACGTTGTGGTGGGGCAAACAAAGAAAGGGCACGAAAGAACAAAAACAATACTTCCAATATCCTCCTAAGACCTCTTTGGGAAGTGCATATTACGCCTCAAAAAAACATCCTCATGCCTACATTTCTAAAACATCCCAAAACATCCCAGGGATAGGTAACTCTCAGTAGGTAAACAAAGAAATGCCACAGAAGAACAAAAACAATACTTCAATATCCTTCAAAGACCTCTTTGGTCAGTACATATTACGTCTCAAAATAACATCTTCATGCAAACATTTTCAAAACATCCCAAAACATCCCAGGGATGTTTGTGCTCGCTGGGTACCTATATACCGTAAACCCGTATTGTAGTATACCGATGTTTTAGTAGCTGGTTCAAGATTCCGGCAAACCCAATCCAATATCATTTTCCTTCCACGCCAACCTTTATGCTCAATATAGAAAAAGCGATGATGAGTTCTCCTCAAGTAAATACCTCTCCATTCGTATTTTCCGGCGAGAGGTGGTCGACTAATAAAAAAAAAGCCTCAAGATGTACCATCCGCTGTCTGAGTAACGAACTCTACACACATTTCAGGTTCAAGGGAAGACTCTGCTGCCTCTATTCTAAAACGAATATCTCATGTCATCAATTTAATAAACAATAAAAAAAATGTATATCTGCTTACTTCCATCCATTTAATTATCATCATAAATATAATGCAATATATCAATATGATTATACAAAATCATCTTACATACTTATACCTACTAGTTTTGTTGTACTCACCTTATAGTTAGATCTTAATTATATATTATACATCAGGGTGTTCATTTCAGGACTTCCCACCCTAATTTTCTCGAAATGTGTGTATGTTTTTGAAAAATCCCGAGACACGTCAACTAACATTTTCGAGGGGGACATGGTTCTAAAATATTTTCAGCCCCGCGTCGTTGCCGCTTCTAACGAAAAGAAGCAACAACTTTGTTATTTCAAATGGAACACCCTGTATTTTATTGCATTTTTAGATTCTCCCTGAAAAGCTGATTTCATCAATGTATCACACTTGGGGTCTAGCAGGAATGATTACAGAGATATAGGGTGTTCAAAATCGAGATTTTACAACTTTAGGATTTTTTTGAGTCGAAACTATTCATTACTGGTTAGGTGGCCAGGTAGCCGTGCGATCAGAGTGTCCATATTCTAATCCGCATTCGCTTGCCGGTCGTGGGTTCGAGTCCCGTCGACTGCAGAAATTTTTCTGATGGCCCAAGAAAGTGTTTGGGATCACACGTTAAAAGGTAAGGCCCCCGTCATTCCTTGCTCGCACAAGACTCTCGAAGACTTCTGAGGGTTGCTCGTAAGGGGGCAACCGAATGACGGATAGAACAATTTTAGAACAATTTTTTTTTTAGAACAAACGGCTTTCATGTCCCTATCTCAACTTTTGATTTACTATCTACTGACATTTATTTGAAACAAATACAGGGTGATCAAAAGTCTGAATCTTGAACCACCCTGTATTTGTTTCAAATAAATGTCAGTAGATAGTAAATCAAAAGTTGAGATAGGGACATGAAAGCCGTTTTGACCAATAATGAATAGTTTCGACTCAAAAAATCCTAAAGTTGTAAAATCTCGATTTTGAACACCCTATATCTCTGTAATCATTCCTGCTAGACCCCAAGTGTGATACAGTGATGGAATCAGCTTTTCAGGGAGAATCTAAAAATGCAATGAAATACAGGGTGTTCCATTCGAAATAACAAAGTTGTTGCTTCTTTTCGTTAGAAGCGGCAACGCCGCGGGGCTGAAAATATTTTAGAACCATGTCCCCCTCGAAAATGTAGTTGACGTGTCTCGGGATTTTTCAAAAACATACACACATTTCGAGAAAATTAGGGTGGGAAGTCCTGAAATGAACACCCTGTATGTATGTTACCTATAAACTTGTAAATAATGTTCACGAATCACAGTCTCCCAAAATAAACATATTTTTAAATGGATATAGTCAGGATTCTCACGTACAAGCTGTCTGCACAGCTTCTGTGATTTTCTTGGTTTATTTACATTTATTAATGTTGTATACCTATTATGGTTTTGTATCGTATGATGAAATATTATTGTGAAAAGTTATTATTGATATAAAAAATTATATATACCCTGTAAATCTGTAAAACTATTTATATGAATTCGTAATTGAACTCATTATTATTATAATTATTATATTATTATTATCTAGATCTAGAAAAAACTTTGAAACCAAATAAGTTTGAACTACGAAATAGCCACGATGCTCAAAGTGGAATGAAATATCAAATAAATACTAAAAAGCTCAACGTCATTTCCACACAATGGTACTAAAATTAATAACAATGGTAGATTTTAGGAGGAAAACAACTAGTTCCCTGGCTAATGGCACGTAGAAAATTGAATTACATCCTCCCGAAATACCGGGTGGCTACGGAAGTATTGCCTACGGGATATCTCAGTTATTGTGTAAAGTAGGTTTGTGAAATTTGGAGTGTCGATATAATGACATAAGAGCTAGAATTTGAGCATATTGACATGTCGAAGTTAACTTCCGGTCTGACCGGAATAAGTAACATCAACTTTCTTATTTTAAATGGAAACCCTATTTTTTTCTTTTCGCTTTATTCAGCATTCAATTCCCTTTCTAATGACATATCACAAGTTGGTATCTAACCAGAAACTAGATCATAAAAAAATTATTATTGAAATTCACCGAGTATAGGCCGTGGAAGCAAAATGAAAGCCAAAAATTGAAAAGTTGGCTATGGAAACCATACGTCACTTGATAACAGTTGCTACTACTGTGATATTTTATTTTCATTCTTCGGCGTTATAAAAAGCCGACGAAAAAAAAATATTGGAAAAATTGGGGAAAAAACAGTACCCTGTAGGTCCATAACTTAAATAGGAACATACTTTTTCTTGCCTGTACTATTCAGCATAACCATTCCTTTCTAATGTATTGTGGACAAGATTTGGTCCGATTCCATTCAAAATTGGTAAGTGGGGGTTTTTGAGGTCGGAGATCATGATTTTTTTGTTAAAATTTATAAATTCAAGATGGCGGCTTCCAAATATTTTTTTGCTTTTGTATAAATGACGATAACTCCGTTGTTATCAGCACAAAACTATTACTGCGACAAATCATCAGTAAGAGAAAAAAAAGTTATTTGTAACTAAGTCATAGTGAGCTATGACCTACATTTGAAAAACTAAAGTTGATGCTGATATCTCAAATTCTAGAAGAGTTGGTATAAATTTCATATTTTTTTCGAAATCACTTCGAAAAACTGCCATGAGAATGTGAAATTCCTATTTGAATATTTTCATAAATAAAGTAGTTACGGAGGAGACATGAAAATGATCAAAATCTGTTTTTTGCGTATAAAACAAAAACGTATAGATTTTATCGAAATATTTTTTCACATTATAGGTGGCCATGAAAAACTCCTCATTTGGTGTCATTTAACCGACCTCGTATCTCTCACCGTTATAAATATACCCATCATGGTGAGCATGGTAAGTGGGACACACTGTATTCTAACTCAATCCAAAATCAGAAAATATTTAAAAAAAATTGAAATATGGATCGATACATGGCGATAGTACGTATAGAGACTCATTTTGCACAATTTGTAGGATTTTTATTTACTAGAATAGTCGTAGCAGCTGAATTATTTGACATTGAAGTATGTGTTTCTTAAGTTGTTATTTGAAGCTGTGAATACTCACTAGTGATTTGATGATTTCAGGAATGCTATTATATAGCTTTGGAGCAAAGTAAGTATAGGAGCGTTGAGCAACGACCCTAACCATTAGTGGTATGAAATAATGATCCCTTTGACGAGTATTGAACTGATGAGAAGGAAGCGATGCTGAATGTTTGTTTGCATTATATCTACTGCTGGAGCACAAAAAATACAATTGTCGTATGTCCAACATCTGTGTTTCAGTGTATAGTTCATCAGAAATATATCTATTATTTTTGGAAAAAATCAGTTTTAGAAAACGTCTTTGCATAACTTCGATGGAATGAAGATTCCACAAATTTCAGACCCATCTCTTTACTATCGACCCTTTCTAAAATTATTGAACGATTGGTGAAAAAAAGATAAATGTCCTTTTTCTCG